TATAATTTCTTGTAATGATCTGCATCTCATTACCGCTGTGCCTGGCAGTCCTCTCTCTCCAGGGAAGCCCCGGAGTCCCGGAGGCCCGTCCTTTCCTGGGGTACCTATGGGTCCAGGGTCGCCCTTGGTGCCTTCTTTCCCTGAGGGTCCGGGGAGACCCTGCTCTCCTGGAGGGCCAGGGGGTCCTGGGTGACCCCTCTCACCCATAGGGCCGCTCTCTCCTGAGGGACCCTGAGAGACAGAGAGACCAGTCACTACAGGCACTCCTGCTTGACCTACTGTGTGATCTCCCCAGTCCTGTCCAGGTCTGTGTGTGCGATCGGCCCTCAGCTGTGCGTCTCGGACTCACCTGGGGTCCCACGACTCCCGGGGGCCCAGGGGGGCCGGTCTTGCCTTGGAATCCCTGAGGGAGGGGGAGAGAGGGAGAGGAGATGAATACAGAAACCGCGGGGCTCCAGCACAGGCAGGATGAGAAAGGGGTGGAGGGCAGAGACTCACCACTTCTCCCCTCTGTCCGGGGTGTCCAGGCAGCCCGTCCTTGCCGGGGGGGCCCTGCGGGGGAGCGTGGGATTGGAGAGAGAGAGTTAGCGCGAGCGCGGAGGGGGCGCGACAGCGAGCAGCGCGTCTCGAGCAGGAGGCCGGCGGAGTCTTACGGGAGGTCCCTTCGGTCCCGGGAATCCGTTCGCTCCCTGAGGGCCAGGCAACCCCTGGGAGAGAGAGAGAGGCAGAGAGAGAGGTGGGTCTGGCGTCTCCTGTCAGCCGCTTTCTTCCCCTTCAGCTCAGCTGCGTGCCGTTCTGCGTTACCGGGCTCTACTCTTACTGTCCCTGTCCCTGTAGGGACCAAGTATGTGAAGGACTGGGACTGAAACTGACGGACACGGACGCCATTTTGGCTCCTGTGCCCACCCGGCGTCTCCATCACACCGAATGGGCACTCCGGAGCCGTAAATGGCGACCACAGGGGCACAGCTGGGCGGGGGTCTCCGTAGCGAGGGAGGCTGATCGATTATCCATGACCATGATCATTTACGAACACCGCCACCCCCCTCTCCCCTACTCACCCTCTCTCCTGGGGGGCCGGGGGGTCCGTCGCTGCCCGACGTTCCCTATGGAGACACAGAGGTGAATCCCAACCTGTCTGTCAGTCCCGGCGGCGTTAGGAAGAAAAGGCGGGGATGTGTCCCAGGAGAGGTGGGTCTTACCTTGGCCCCCGGCTTGCCTGTGGCCCCGCGTGGTCCCCTCTGACCCCTGGGGCCCTGCAGAGCCAATGGTGAGAGATTAGCATGGTCAGTGGGAAACAGCAGCAACACTGACACTCAGTCGATCAATAACTCAATCAACTGGCACTCAGATGATCAATAACTCAATCAGCTGGCACTCAGAAAATCAATAGTTCAATCAACTGACACTCAGCCAATCAATAGTTCAATCAAGTGCTATCAGAGTGCTGTGTGCAAAAGCCAGCCCCTGCAGGACAGTCCCAGCGCTGTGTTACTGTGGACAGACTGGACCTGCGCAGGACTGTCTCCTGTATCACACGTGTCTGGACTGGGTATAAGAGCTGCTGGACAGTCCCAGCGCTGTGTTACTGTGGACAGACTGGACTGTTATGCGGTGAGTGTGGGGTTTACCGTACCGTCGGCCCTCTCTGCCCTCGTGGCCCAGCCTTGCCCGTCAGACCCTGGGAGACACGGAGACAGCGTTACTGCAGCGCGGCCAGCAGGAGGCAGCGTGTGCGGGACATGAGCTGGCACAGCCAATCAGGAAACTGATATTCATATTGTGGAGCAAATCACACTGCCGCACTCTCGCAAAAGAGCTATGGACCGATCTTTCTTTAAATCACTACTGCAGTACAGTGTGGCGGACACACAAAAACTTGTACAAAATACCTAACCTGGCACCGTCACTACTGTGACTGACGTATTCAAACATCTGTCGAACTGCTGACCTGTGTCTCTTAT